CCACACAAACATTCAGGGCCGTAATCGGTGCTTTGCTAATCACTTGCAAGGCTTTGTCAGTCAAAAATAACTTTCCTAGTCACATGAAATAAATAATTATGAAATCGCATAAAATAGAGAAAGAAAACTTATATGGATAGATAATAAAAACTCGGAATGCCAGATTCCAATAACTGTCTGTAACTCAGATTAGGCGAATATAAATCATTCCTCCCATAAGGTTAAAACTTTCCAAAATTGTAAGATGTTATAATTAAAAGATAATTTTGGATGTACAAATAACAAATAAATAAAAAAGATCTCGTGGCACATTTTAAGAGTAAGTAAATCTTCGGGATTAACCACATAATAATCCACCATATTACAATGTTGTGGTTATTATTGGTAAGTAAATCGTGGCACAGTAAATGTGCGTTCAACAAAAATGTAGTATCAATTTGTTATTTTATTTTCCAATTTTCTATGAATTTTGAGCTTTATTTCGAATTCGACTATAAACTTGTTCACGATTCAACAACAATCTCCTTCTTCGCCATTTCTCGATCCTTCCTTCCTTGATCGGTAATTCTCTCTTCCCTTGATCGGAGACGCGAGTTTGATCTTCTGAATCGTGTTTCTGTCGAACGAGATGAGGAATTTGTTCTAAATTCGGGTTCTCTGTGCTTAGGTTTTTGTTAGAAAATGAGATGAACAATTTTTTGTTGAATTGTGTTTGTACTGTCACTTAAATTAAGATTTCTCTGCTAGGATTTTGAGCATTTCGAGAAATCTGTTTGTCACTATGCAAGATTTTGATGATGTGATCTCATTTTGCATCTCGGTGTGGTTTTGGTTTCAGAAATCTGTTTCTTGTTAGATTTTGATGATTTTTTTTTCCTCAGTTTTGTTCGTTGATGCAGCAGTACAAGTTGTGGTGATTTTGGTTTCTTAAATGAGTTTTGGAATGGGGGTAATGGAGAACATGGTACATACAGAGTCATCAAACGTTGGTTCGTTGAGCAAGAATGGTAATGGTTCTGAGGAGAAACTAGGAGGAAATGTTTTGCAGAATGGTAGTTACAATACGGCTTCTACTGGAATGCTTAAGTACAAGCGCCGGAAAGTTTATGCGGTTAGAGATTTCCCACCTGGTTGTGGAACCATTGCGACGAGGCTCAGATCGAGAATGGGAGTGAAGACTTGTCAGAATGGGAAAGCTGCTGATGATGATGAGTTAAGAGAGGGTAGTTGTGGTCGGTCTTTTGAAGCTAAGGTTGAGTCTTTAGTGAAAGAAGAAGAAAACTTGGGACAGCGAGATGAGCAGCCTTGTAATGACATGGAAGTTGCGGTAACCGCGGGAGTTGAATCTCATGTAGTTAACATGCTGAAACAGGAACAGGAGCCAATGAAAGATGAATTGATGTATGCACCAGAAGATGAGAACTTCACGGAGAACGCAAGGGACCCGGTGGAGGTTCAGCCTCTGAGCGTTTGCTTGCCAGATGGTAATGGTGAGCATTTTATCTGTGAATCAATTACTTCAGTAGATGCGGCGATGGGTTCTGTTGGTGGGCAAAGCATCGTGACGAAACAGCTTCATGAAAGAAGGGCTGATGTGGTAAGAGACTTCCCTTCAAAAACAGGAACCAAGCGTTCAAACAGTGTAAAATCTGTCAAGGTTGATGTGTCGACAGGAGAGAACTTGGTTCTTGATAAGTCGGATTCTGGTGTTAGCAGTGGCAGAACACAAAACATGGTGAGGGATATGGTTGTTTATGCCGAGGAACCAGATCTTGGAAGAGACCATCTGGATCAATCTCTTGCTAAGAGCATAACAACGTATGTTCCTGAGCCATTGGAACCTGCAAGATCCAATGGTACAGTGCCGAAACCAATTCATGTTGCGGGTAGAAAAAAGGCAAAGAAAGGAATTGCATTGCATGCACCCTTGAAGCTTACCAAGATCAGTCGAGAGTATGGTGAAGGATCTAGGACGAGGAACAGTGAGAAGAATTTGTATTTGCGTGAGAGGTTAAGTCCGGATATAGAGGAATTTCTTGACCAGGAGATAGCTCGACATCCTCAAACAGTGCAGGTCGGGATTCCTCCCTCACATCCCAGTGGTTCAAGCAGTGGTGATAGTATGCGGAGCAAAGTTAAGGAAACTCTGCGTCTTTTCCATGGAGCTTGTAGGAAAATTTTGCAGGAGATAGAAGCAAAGCCAGTGCCGGGTAAAAGGGTCAGAGTAGATTATATTGCTTCGAATATTCTCAAAAGCAAAGGGAAATTTCTGAACACTGGTGTTCAGATTGTTGGAACTGTGCCTGGGATTGAGGTCGGTGATGAGTTTCAGTATAGGATGGAGCTGAACATTCTTGGCATACATAAACCAAGTCAAGGGGGTATCGATTATGTAAAAGACGGTGATGGCATAATTGCGACTAGTATTGTAGCCTCTGGAGGGTATGACGACGAGGTGGATAATACGGGTGTCATGACTTACACTGGCCAAGGCGGAAATGTGATCAAAGTAAATAAAAAAGGAAAGGAAGAAAAAGAGCCTGAAGACCAGCAGCTTATAACGGGAAACCTTGCGTTAGCAAACAGCATAAACAGGAAGAACCCTGTGCGTGTCATAAGAGGCAGCGATAAGGCAGCTAAGAAGAAATCATCAGTTGATGCAAGAGGTAGGCATTATGTTTACGACGGTTTATATCTTGTGGAAGAGTATTGGCAAGAAACTGGACCTCATGGAATGAAAGTCTTCAAGTATAAACTTAGGCGCATCCCCGGACAACCCGAGCTTTCATGGAAAGTGGTGACGAAATCAAAGAAGTCGAAATACCGGGAAGGTCTATGCAGACTTGACATCTCAGAAGGGACTGAGAGATTACCCATTTGCGCTGTGAACGAAATAGACGACGAGAAACCGCCAATGTTCGTCTACACTGCGAAAATGATTTACCCGGATTGGTGCAGACCAATTCCTCCAAAGGCATGCGGTTGCATCAAACGCTGCATGGAAGCGAGAAACTGTGCATGTGTGGCGAAAAATGGAGGAGAGATACCGTACAACCACGATGGAGCCGTTGTTGATGCAAAGAATTTAATCTACGAGTGCGGCCCACTCTGCAAATGCCCTTCTTCTTGCTACCTAAGAGTCACACAGCACGGGATCAAGTTCCCGCTTGAGATCTTCAAAACCGAGTCAAGAGGTTGGGGAGTGAGATCGCTTAGCTCGATCCCTTCGGGTAGCTTCATATGTGAATATGTAGGTGAGCTTTTAGAGGATAACGAAGCAGAAAGAAGAACTGGAAACGACGAATATCTCTTTGATATTGGTAACAGGTATGATACTTCCTTAGCGGAAGGGATGTCGAAGCTAATGCCCGGGACACAGTCAGACATTGCTATGGAAGAAGAGACGAGCGGATTCACCATCGATGCCGCAGCGAAAGGCAATGTCGGGAGGTTCATTAACCACAGCTGCTCACCGAATCTGTACGCACAGAACGTACTGTACGATCATGAAGACACGAGGATCCCTCACGTGATGTTCTTCGCAATGGACAACATACCTCCGCTTCAAGAACTCTGTTACCACTACAATTACGTGATCGACCAGGTACGCGATTCTAACGGTAATGTCAAGAAGAAAACCTGCCATTGTGGTTCTTCAGAGTGTACTGGTAGGCTCTATTGATCGATTTGCGTATTTTCTTTTTTCCCTGTTTTTTTCGGATTCTTCTTGTTTTTTTCTTATGTTTGGTGATTACACAATTTATGTTACATTTAGTATTTAAAAGTTTGAATTTTAGTCTAAATCCAAGTGTCTTTGTTATCAAGTATTTGCGTTTGGAAACTATACAAGACTTGATAAAACTTTAAAATACAAACAGATTACTGTTAAGCTAAAGTATCTCTGGGAGTTTGAATCGATTGTTCTTGCCTCGTCGAACTCTCGCTTCCAGTTTCTTCTTCATTAAACCGATCTACACTGTTTATGAATATCCCTGCCAATTCACAACCAAAATTGGTTCTTGATTTGGATTTTGGACTAGAAAGCTAAGAACATAATCGATTTGCTTTACCTATACACCATGTTGCAGCAGCTAAGAACAGAATCGATGTTAAGATCAATGCGGTTTTTCTCCAACTGTCGATATGATCCTGCGTATACAACAATGGAAGCATTTTGGTTCCCAAAAGTTGTGTGTTTTACTTCCAGGATTGGAGATGAAAATAAGGGATTTTTTTACCTGAACAATACCGACAAGAGGCGAAGAAGGAACATCGCCAAATATGTGAATTGCGACAGTGGAGATTGCCATTGATAATGGTCTTAAACTTGGTTTCACAGAGTGTAGACACACATAATTCACAGGAGCCTGAAGAAGACGAAGCTGTCTTGATGAGCATATACACATTGATAATGCTAAAAGCTTGAAATGATTTTTACCTGTGTAGCAAACACAAGAAGCTCTCCTAAGGCAAATAGAGCGATGAAACCGTATAAACTCTTTAAGGTAAAAGCAGTGAAGCAAAATATCGCCCCGAGAAAAGTTGCTCCAGACAAGAGCTGAATCCAAGAACAAAAGGTTTATTTAATTAAACCCGATTAATCCGAAAGAAAAACAAGGGTTCTTCATGAATGTTTTGAAGAAATCCTCCAAGAAGGCGAAATCTTTACCTTAAAAGCATTTGGAATTGTTGCAGTGACGCGATCAAGAAAGAAGCCTCCTGATAATGTTCCAACTATCCCACAAATGATAGTTACTGCACCAAAGATCATATCGGCGTTTTTCTGTAGAGATACAATTCTTATCAGAAACATAGTTTGAATCTTTCTCCTTGAAAATGAATTTGTTGAATGGCTTGTTTTACCATTTTATAAATATTGTAACCCGCCTTTGGTCCCCAATATGAATATGCTCCAATAACAAAATTGTATGATACATAACCTGTTAGAGGCAAATTGTATCAATCAACGAACAAGATAAATAAGAAGAAGAATAGTGAAAGTTTAAGAAAAAATTACCTAAGACATTAACAAGAAAGACCTTTTCTTTACATAGAACTTTCATATCTTTTGCGAATTGAGTAAACGATTTGCAAACTGCGTTCGCGTAACTTGACCTGCCACATTTGAAGTAAAGATTATATAAGCATATGAAAGAAAATGAAATCATATAAAAAAAAA